GAGCTAGGTGCTATGCGTATGGGCATTTTGTAGCTGGTCGCATCAGTTCCTTCTCATATTTAATCATTTAAAATAAAAAGGAGCATTTTGAAACGTCAAGACACCATGGACCACCTTTTTCCATTCCAGCAAAGAGTCCAGAGGGAAACCTAAGGGCAGGCTGCCTGTCTCGCTGAGCTGCAGGAGAGGAGAAGAAAGATGTCTGGGAACTGGCTACCTCTCCTAGTCCCTGCCTGGCCTCAGCCCTGGGTGTCAGTTAGAGCTGCCTGGGGCTCCCTCATCTGCTGCCAGCTGGCAGCAGCTCCCCTTGCTTCGCTGCAGCTCCAGGGCCACAGCCAGCGTGGCACGGTGGTCCCCAGCACTGGGGTCAGCAGTGCATTCTCTGCCCCGCTGCCAAAGACTGTCCTGCCCGGTCAGGGCCACAAACATTTCCAACGGCAATGCTCTGCCAGGCTAAGGAACAACGCAAATTGTGAAACAAAAGTAAGAGAGCTCTTTAAGAAACACGGAAGAAAATGCATCATTTTACTGCCATAAGAAGCTATTTTACAGCTTCAACCTCTTGTCTCTGGGTACTGCCAAAGCACTGTAAAAGCATTCCCACGACTCCCACTCTTCCCAAATATCATCCTTGTCTCTCCTTCCTTGCTGCCAGGACCTCAGCTGCAGCCTGGATGAACCAGAACTGACTCCCTGCCCCACACACCATCACCCCTGGTCACCCTGCTCACCTAAACGCACACTGCCACAGTGGAGACCTGAAAGCAAAGATGACAAATTACGTTTCTGCATTCCCAATAACACTGTGGCTCCCGCTCCCCAGGCAGCAGATTGCGCTGAGGGTTTCCTGCTCTCCCATTCCCATTACTGCCTCTCATCTGTGCTGGCACAACTTCTGTCGCACCAGGATCCGGGCAACCCTGCCTCACCTCAGCTGCTGCCACGCTCCTGTTCCCGCCCCACCACTGGCTGCAAGTCTCCACCTTGCACCTATGCTCCTGTGCACATTAACTGTATACCGAACGGGTCATGCTGTGGATCCATCCCAAAACCTTCATCTTGCTCATCAGCAGGTCAAGCTCTCTGAACTCACTCGCGTTTGGTCTCTCCTTGAGAACACGCACCAAGCAAGGGTGAGGGCTGGAGAGGGCTGTGCAACGCAGCACACGAGTCAGCTCATGACGCTGCGCCCTACACCTGCACAATTACCCCTGTATTAAAGGAACGCACAATGCACAAAAATGCGGAACAACTGATCCATCAGGATGAAGACCAGCCCCCCAACAAGTGAATCGGGGCAGCCGGAGGGACAGTGATCTCCAGAAGGAGAGGGGAGGCCTGTGACAGGCACGG